ATCATATGCTAAGGATGCTGAAAGATTTAAGAGCAAAAATACAAAGAGAATACTTAACAACTTTTACATTCAGTATATATTCACCCTATACTAATCGTGGTGTTCTGTTCCTAACTGGTTTATGGATATGTACCTTGAATTTACCAACATTTTTCAGCAGTGTGACAGACATCCAAAATCATATAAGAAAAACCTTAAGGAATGTTTACAAAAAAAGGAAATAAATAGTCAAATGAGTCACAGACTGTACAGAGAAGTTAGCTTCTTATGTGGCTTAAAGGAGGTCTCCTTAAGATGTTTCATGCATATGTAGGTGTGTGCTTGTATACATGTAGTACTGTGGCTCTAACTCAGAGTCTCAGGCTTTTGCTTAGCTTTATCACTCATGACTAGTTCTCTATCACTTGAGCCACATCTCTATTACCTCTTACTTCTGGGTTTGGGGATTTCTTTGTTAGTTTGTTTTCTAGCTAATTGGAGATGATAAAAGTCTCTTGGATTTTGTTTCAAACCTTGATTTTCAGATCTAGCTTCCTGAGTAACTAGAATTATAGGCATGAGTTACCAGTGCCTGGTAATATGTTTCATATTTTAAGAAGAGAAAAATAAGAAGGAGAAGGAGAAAGGTTACTAGAATCTAAATGAACTTCTGGCAGAAGAAATAGATGAGGTCACTTTGCCTGGACTTCTGAAATTGTTACGCAAAAAACAAAAGAAGTCTGACATAGTGGTATATGTTAGCATGCCCTATATCTCAGATCCTCAGCCCCTCCCACAAAACTAGTTTTCTGGCCAGGCTTAATTGCAATGCAGTTGGCCATCAGCCCTGGCAGTTCCTCCCAGTCCACTTCCTGGAGCTGTGTTTTACCCCTAGCCCCCTAACTATAAATTTGACCCTAAACAAAGGATGTGTGCCATTTCTCCCTCTCCTGTGGGAAAGGTAGCCTTGTCAGCCTCTGGGATGAGTACTTTCAGTACATATCTGTAATTCCAACACTAATAAGGCTGAGGCAGGAGATCGGAAGTTCAATGTTGCCAGAGGCTACATAGTGAGACTGCCACAAATAAATACCACATACACATACATACATGTGCACATGTATATGTACATACATGTACACATGTGTATATACTCACATGTATACACATGCAGATAGATACATTTATATGTATGTATATATTTGTATGTGATACATATATCACAGAGAAAGAAAGAGAGAGCAGAACTTTTCTCTGAACTCAGTCTTACTGATTTTTCTACTGTTTGACCTTTCCTTTTCTTTCATGGTTACATCCTGTGGTCTGTCACTTTGTAGAAGTGAATGTGCAGCCTCTTTTTCTCCCTCCATCATATTTTAGAGTACATGCAGTTGAAGGTGGTTACACTAATAGATTATAGAAAGCCAAATATCTCTGCTCTCCTTCATTACTATTCCCAAATAGTAGTTTGAAACAACACATTTATTTTGTCAGGAATCTGTGATGTGGACAAGGCACAGTTTGTGTTAATTGTGTGCAGTATCAGGGAGGTGGCTCACTCAAACTGGTATTTACTATTGACTGGAAGCTAGATCAGGGAGGAATCCAGGAGCTTGGATTCCTGTCCATATGGCCTTTCCTTGAGGCTGATTGGCTGGGATCTGAATCAGGATGACTGGATAGGATATGATTCCTATCCATACTATCTTTCCTTAGACATGGATGACTGGCATCTGGGTCTGTTATTGAACAGGGGTTTAGATTGTATTGGCATAGCTTTTCCTCAGGGATGATTGACTGGTATCTGAGTCAAAATTACTGACCAGAGGCTTAGTTACTGTCTACATCCCTTTTTCGGAGATTCTTGGGCTTTAGGGAATATAATTGTATTCCAATTGTAAGTGTTCTAATCTACAGAAACATAGAAGAATGGATATTGTCATGCTTTTAGACCTACATTCCAAAATTCAAATGTCTCCATTTCTGTTATATCCTATACACTGATTTTTCTCAATGGATAAACATCAGGAACTTGCATCTATTGTTAGTCTATCATAGTCTAGTTTTTGTGCTTTAGGCAAAGTATGGCAATCTCCCTCACACAGGCCTCCAAAGTTTCATCAAGTTATGAAAAAATATGACATGGATGAAACACATACGTACATAATCAACACAGCACATACTGTGAAAACATTTTAGATGACAGACTGAAACTTTGGGGGCCTGTGTGAGGGGGATAGATGTATTTTGCCTAAAGGAAACATCAATGCATGTTACATAGCGAAGGAAAGTTTAGAAATTCTAAGAGCTTGTCCCATGAAAGATTTACTAGTGACCCAAGTATATCTTGAAAAAAATCATAGGTATGTTTTTCATCCAATGGAACATTACAATTTCTTGAGGAACACACTGGACATACTCTTAAGAGTGTGAGGCATTACAATTCCTCCACATTACTTCAGAGGGCAGTTTTGCTAAACTTCCCTCCATTATGTAACATGCATTGACATTTCCCTAGCTTCCTATAGTATTTTCTTCACCGTCCTTCAGCCTTCACTACCAAGGTTCCTGATGCCTTCTACCCTCTACCTGCCACCAACCCTGAAGCCAATGCCACATACTTTAAGTTTCAATTGTCAGAGCAACTTATCCTGGTACTAAATTCGGTTTTACTTATGTGGAGCAAAGAAGCCCACATCTTGGTGGCTTGCACTGCTATTAATTCTAAAGTGTGGAGAAGATTCAGCTGAAGTGGTGCTCCATCTTGTTCACCCAGGGCTGGAGGAGCAGTGATAAGTAATCTCCTCATCAGGCTGGCCATTTGGTTCAGGCCACCTGAGAAGATTTCAATCAAGGCTATTAGTAGGGCTTAATTGCTTTCCATGTCATCCTCATCTGGGGGATACTTGGAACTTTTTGTAGTCTGATGACTGTTGCAAGAAGAAATATTCCAAACGATAGAAAATAAAATCTTCTAACCCTTTAAGACCTAGAATTGCCAGGTACCAGTGGTTCACGCCTGTAATCCTAGCTACTCAGGAGGTTGAGATCTGAGGATCATGGTTAGAAGCCAGCCTAGGCAAGAAAGTCAATGAGCCTCTTTTGTTCAATAAATTACCAAAATAAAAGCTGGAAATGGAGCTGTGGTTCAAGTAGTAGAGTTCTAGCTTTGAGCAAAAGAAGTTTAAGGACAGTAGTCAGGCCCCGAGTTCAAGCTCCAGTACTGGCATAGGAAAAAAAAGACCTAGAAAAAGCTAGAAATTGATACATTATTTCAACTGCATCATATTATCAGAGCCTAATCCAAATTAATGTAGAAATATAGACTCCACCTCTTAGCAAAATTCCTCTTAAAGGCTGACATCATCTTAACTGTGCCTCATCAACAGTGCTATTGGCTGAACACTGATTACTAACATGACTATCCACTTAAGACAATAGTTTCTGAGATGATTTTGTTAGAAGACACCAGAGAATACCCATTATCTTCCCAGAGCTACAGACACATTACATCTCTGATCCAGGTATGTAATCTTCACCTACAGTTTTTTAAAAATACCTTTTTGGTATTGACACCTATGAATCAGGCCCTTTCCACTTCCTGTGGAAGCCTGAATTTCATTTTGTGTCTGTGGATCTGCATTGCTGGGAAGATGGAACTACACACATTAACTGGACCTGGCTCTTTTCTCATCTTTTACATTTTCTATTTTTCCATATCTGATGGTAATGATTTGCTGGGTCTGGCATATATTTCTGTACTTCATTCAAAAACTGTAAATATTGGTTGTTTTTTTCTTGAGTGTGTGCTGTGGTGCTCTACAGTTTCACACTTTAGGAAGCATGGGTTAGACTAATCTGTTCAATATAGCAGAAGTGTACTAAGAAAAACAAGCCAAGGGCATGGGAATAGGGAGAAAATGAGGGAAATAAAGGAGAGGGAGGCGAAAGAGGTGAAAGATGCCTGTGAAAAGCATGTGTGAGTGATACATGCTTACACAGGGGGATTTGGGTGCTCAGTGAACTCTCAGCTAGGATACTACTTGTCCTATGTCTGCTAGTGCCTTGCTAAATGAAACAGCCTCTAATTATCAGTCCCATCAGCCTGGTTTAAGGGCTCATTAGAGATGCAGAATCTGTTAGCCCATCCCAGATCCAGGATCAGAACCTGTATTTTATCAGCTGAGTTTCCTCTGAGAGGTACCATACTAGATGGCATATTCTCCAATACAGCTAATATTAAATATCCAAAGAAGTTTAGAAAGTTAGCAAAACTGGCCTACTTTCTCCCTCTAGAAAACCTTATTTCGGTTACATGGAAAGGTCTAGATTTGAACTCCAGAGCTCTCCTACTTGTTTCTAGCTCTGGGACGTTTCTCAACTTCTGTTTTGTTTTCTGTAACAAAGGATTGAAATTACTTGTCCCATATTCTTGGTAGTCCCATAGTAAGATTTGCTAATTTGTATATGAAAATAGGCTTTTATGCTAGAAAGTGTTGTGCAGATCCGAAGGAGAAGTGAGAGCCCAGACCCCATCCCCACAGTAGAAGTATAACTGGGAGCTATTGTGCTTCTGGACATTAGAAACTGAGTCTCTTAGAACCTTGCTACTCAATGTGATTTGTGACTCAGCAGCATCAGTATCCCTGAGAAATCGTTAGTAATGTAGACTCTTAACCCCTCTGCCCTACTAAATTAGAACCTGTGTTCTAGAAAGATCCTAAAGTGATTCCTGGAGAACTAATTCACATAAGAAACAAAATATAGCAAATGGCCAAAAATAAATCATCATTTGGTCAAACCACAGTATTGTTTTGATGGATAAAATTAAAATAGAATTCCATCATGAATTGGAATGATCTAACCCTGTGACGTTAAGGCTGCATTCCCAGGTAGTGATAGGGCTACATCCTGAAGGTATATATAACAAGAGATTTCCTAGTGCTGAAAGTTTCCATAACCAATTGTGTTGGTCCTGCCTTCCCTCCTGTGCCCTGTTGTGTTCATCCTCAGTTTGGGCAATGTCCTCTTCAAGTAGCACCTCAGACATGAAAACTTATACATCCTCAAGAGACCAGGATGAATGTCAACCAGAGCCTGAAGGTAAGAAATTCATTGTTGGAAATGACTACTAAGAAGCTGAAAGATGTCTTGGATGAAGGCTAAGGAGGAGGCAGATGAATAGAGAAAGGAACAGTGATCAAACGCAGTCATAAGACTCAAAACATGCAAATGTGAAAATGGAACTAGAAAACAGGCTGTTGTCAGAAGAATTTGGTTGGAATAAGGAATTGATGGAAGGGTTACACACATAAATGGACAGGTAAAACTAATTCCTTGGTACAACTATATTGGAAGAAAATAATAAATTTAAATTTTTTTAAGTTGTAAAAATGTATTGTGACATCAAAAAGTGATTCCCAGAGTGGGAGGTATGTTAAATACTTTCTCTAGCCAACTAGTAAAAAATCTGAGCTTCAAGAATTTTTACATGACATTAAGTAGAGAGGAAAGTAATGGAACATAGTGAAAATGGACATATTATACTTGAGAACAACAGATTTATCATGAGTAGACAGTTTTGATGCATGTGCTTAGATTAAAAATTTTATTTTTTCCTAAAATTACTTTTATTTTTCTTTAAATAATAATACATTTTATTATTGTATACAACTTGCATACAAAAATAGCTCTTACAAGTTGACAGATGGGGTTGTGAAAATGAAGAACAAAGTGATAAAATGAGTGTTTAAAATGTTTACTTTTTATTATCTATAAGTAGTTGTACAAAGTTTTTTGTTATTGTGTAGATGATGCACAGAGGGATTACAGTTACATAAGTCAGGTAATGCATTTCTTTTTGAACAAAGTCACCTCTTCCCTCATTTTCTCCCAGTTTTTCCCTTTCTGACTCTCTCCCCTACAAGTTATATAGTTCATTTCCAACATAGTGTCCAGTGAGTATCACTGAATATTTAGTTCACCCTTTGCCCCACCATTTCTGTTCTCCTTCCACTCCCCAAATCAGATAAACTTATGTACAAGACAAAGGGACAAAGAGGGTTTACTTCAACAAACCAATTGATAAGTACAGTGCATCTTGCTCATTGTCATCACCTCTTACATCTTCTTCCCCATCTGTCCCAAATCCACCCATTCCTTTAAGTTACTTGGTATATATATATGAATGATGTATTCTTGATCACTTCATCCACTCTAGGGAATCTAGGCTATTTCCATAATTTGGCTATGATGGATAGTATAGCAATGAATTAAGATGGATGTATTTACTATGTCTTGATTTGTAATGTTTTGGATAAATGCCCAAGAGTGGCATTGCTAGATCTTAGGGTTGTTCAATGTTTAGATATTTGAAGAATCTCAAAGCTGCCTTCCATAGTGGTTGCGTTTATGTACATTCCTATCAACAGAATAATAGGGTTCCTTTTTTCCCCACATCCCTTGCCGGTATTTGTTGTTGGTATTCTTGGTGATGACCAGTCATACTGAGGAGAGATGGAATCTCAGTGTTTTTTTTTTATTTCCATTTCCTTTATGGCCAAAGATATTAAGCATTTCTTCATGTGTTTATTGGGTATTTTTTACTTCTTCTGAGAAGTGTCTACTTAAGTCCCTGTTCCCATTAATTGAGCTATTGATTCTTTAGGGGTTTATTCTCTTGACTGAGCTCTTATATATATCCTGGATATTAGGCCTTATTTAATGGTATAGTTAGCAAAGCTCTTCCATTTTGTAGTCTTGTCTTTTTAACTTAGTAATATGTCTTCCTCTGTGCAGAAACTTTTTAGCTTAATGTAATCCAATTGTCAATTCTCTCTTCTATTTGCTGAACCCCTAGAAGTATGCTCAGGAAATTCCTCTCAATGCCAATAAAATCTAATGTTTCTTATACTACTTCCTGTAGAAATTTCAAGACTCCAGGTCTTACGTTGAGGATTTGCTTTGATCTGATACTAATACCAGTTGACAGAGATCCTGCTTCCATATATGGATATCCAGTTTTTCCATCACCATTTATTAAAGGCTGTATTTTTAACATATATTTTTGTCTCCCTTATCAAATATCAGATGGCGAGGGGTATGTGGGTTTATTTCTGGGTCTTTTAGTCTGTAACATTGGTCTTCAGGTCAGTCCTACTTTTGTGTCACTACCAACCTGTTTTTGTTACCATACCTCTGCAGTAAAATTTGAAATCTGAAATTGTGATAACTCTTCCTTTTTCTATTTTCTTGTTTTTGCTATTAGACAGACTGAATTCTGGGCCTGAGCACTGTCCCCAGCTCTAGGCTTATACTCTACCGCTGGAGCTACAGTAATATTTCTAGATTTTTTTTGTGGTTAATTGAAGATAAGAATCTCAGACACTTTTCTTCTTGAGCTGGTTTTTCTTCTTGAGCTTCCAGGGCTTATGTTATAATAGGATGTTGGATTTTTTCAAAGGCCTTTTCTGCATCTATGGAAATGATCATGTTATTCATGTCCTTGGTTCTGTTAATGCACTCTTGTTTATTGAATTTCTTATATTAAATCAGCCTTATATCCCTGAGATGAAAACAATTTGATTGTAGTGCATGATTTCTTTTGGTATGTGTTGATTTTGTTAACAGGTATTTTATTAGTTTTCCAAAGATTGGCCCATAGTTCTTTTTATTTGTTGAATCCATTTCCAGTTTGGGGACAAATGTAATGCTGGCTTTATGGAATGAGTTTGCCAGTGATTCTTGAAAAATTTGAGGAATATTGCTGTTATGTCTTCTTTAAAGGTCTTGTGAATCTGTTGCGACCTGGACTTTTTTGTTGGGAATTCTTTATTGCCTTTTCAATTTCATTACTTACTATGGATCTGTTAAATAATTTATCCTCTTTTCTCAATTTTTTTATCTTGAGATTTATCTAGAAAAACATCTATCTCTACTAGATTTTCCAGTTAGCTGGAAATAATGTTCTGATTTTACTCTTTTGTTGTGATATCCCATCTTTCATCCTTTTCTTGTTTATTTGGGTGATTTCATCTTTTGGTGAGATTGACCAAGGGCATATCAATTTTATCTTTTTGAATAACTGAGTTTTTTGTTGATTGTATTGATATTCTTAGTCCAGAGTTTATTTCTGAACTAATTTTTTATTATGTTTCTCATCTCCTGCTTTTCAGTTTGGCCTATTTTTGTTTTTCAAAGATTTTGAGATATATCATTGGAGTATTAATTTGAGATCTCTCTGTTTGGTGTCAATGTAGGCACTCACAGCTATAAACTTTTCTCTCTAAAGTACTTTTGCTGTGTCTCGAAGGTTCTGGTATAATGTGTTTTTATTTTCATTAGATTCTAGGAACTTTTTATTTTCCCTCATCACTTCAACAACTTTCTTATCAGCAATCTGTTGTTCAGCCTCCATGAGTTTGAATACATTGTGTTGTCTTTTGCTGTTAAGGTCTAATTTTATTTCGTGGACTGACAAGATACAGAAAGTTTCAATTTTCTTAAAATTGCTGAGACTTCTTCATGACCTACAATATGATCTATGTGAGAATATTCGATGATCTTCTAAGAATATGCATTGTAAAGGAGCTGGATGAAAAAATAAATCTGTAAATGACTGCTATGTCCAATTAGTCTAAATTAGTCTATGGTGTCATTTAAATCTGAGGTTTCTGTATTGAGTTTGGGCCTGGATGATCTATCCACTATTGCAAGTTGGGTGTTCAAGTCTCAAACTATCATTTGTTGGGTTTTATGTGTGTTTTAAGTCAAATAATATTTGTTTAGCAAATTGGGGCCCTTCCATATTTAGTGCATATTGTTAAAATTTGTTATGTTGGCCAGGCACCAGTGGTTTACACCTGTAATCCTAGCTGCTTAGGAGCTGAGATCTGAGAATCATGGGTCAAAGCTAGTCCAGGCAGGAAAGTCCAAGAAACTCTTATTTCCAATTAATCACCAAAAATCTGAAAGTGGAGCTGTAGCTCAAGTAGTAGAGCATTAATTTTTAGGGAAAAAAAGCTCAAGGACTGCACTTAGGCCCTGAGTTCAAGCCCCAAGATAGACAGACAGACAGACATATACAGACACACACACAAAATGATACCTTGATCAAGAATTCTCTTTATTAGTGTAAAGTGACCTTCCTTTGGTCTTCTGATTAATTTTGAAGTCTATCAGATAGAAGTATTACTACTTCAGCATGTTTACATGGTTTATTTGCTTGGAGGAATTTTTTTCTAACCTTTTACCTTAAGAAAGTGCTTTTTGCTACCTAGATGTATCTTTTGTAGACAACAGGTGGTTGAGTCTTGCCCTTTGATCTAACTTCCAATTTTGTGTCTTTTGATTAGAGAATTTAGTCTATTAATATTGGGCGTTGACATTGGGAATTATGCAATAGTTCCTGTCACCTTGACCCTTACCCCAATTTTGGGTTTGTATCTTTTCCTGTTTCTCCTTTGTTTACTCATCTGGCAGGATCCCTTTCTCTGCTTTTTAAAAATGTTCACATTGATCATCTGTGTGCAGGATGTCTTTGAGTCTCTTCTGCCGTATTGGTTTCGTGGTAATAAATTTATTTAGCTTTTAATCATGGATTACTTCATTTGTCCTTTGCTTATAAGCGAAAGCAACATTGGATAAGTATTAGGGATTGGTAGTTGTTTATTTTCAATGCTTGAAATGAATCATTTCAAGCCTTCCTTGGGTTTCTAGTTTCTATTGAGAAATCTTCTGTTACCATGATAGGTTTTCCCAGCTAAGTGATCTGTCTTTTCTCATGCATACCTTAAGTATGCTGTTTATTTTCTGTGCTTAATGTTTGATATATAATATGTCACAAAGGAGTTTTTTCCTGATGTGATCTGTTGGGTATTATAAAATACTCTTGTTCCTGAATGGGCTTCTTGTTTTAATTCTTTAATTCTTTTAATTCTTTAATTCTTCTCGTTTAATAATTCTTATGTTTTTAGCTATCCACTCCTGTCCAGTTTCAATAATCATCAGATGTAAATTGTTTCTTCTAATTAAGTCCTGAAGTTCTTGCAAACTACTTTTTTCATAATTCTTGAAATCATTTGCATGTATAGTTTTTCCACACC